GAAAAGTATACTCAATTATATCAGAAGTACACTACAAATAAACTTAAATTATTACTTTGAAGTATACTTGCAGTATACTTTAAGTATACTTTTAGTGGCCCAATTTAGTCCCAAGGAGTATACTTCTAAGTAAACTTTAAGTTCAAGTATGCAAATAAACTTCTGTACACTTAAGTATACTTGAAATTATATACTTAAAGTATACTTCTTTTTCGTAAGGGCTGAGATAAAATGGCTCATGGAATCTGTTTCATTGCACATTGTGTTGTTTTTTATAGCTGGACTCTTGGCTCAGCAGCGATTGAACCAGTATGATTGTGTGCTGGAAACTCACAAAATGCATTCCCACTAGTCCGCTTGATTTGTGCTGATTTTCTCTTGAAATACTGGATGCCAGGATCATCTATCAGTGTGTGCAACACCAGTATTTCCAGACTGTGAAATCCTGCAGAGGCAGCAGTAAATAAACCTAACATCCACAGAAAGTTTAGTTGGTGTCACACTGATGCCTCCGTATTTGCCAGCTTCCTGGGCGCTTGCAAAGGCTGTCGGCTTCAATTTCACATTTCATAAAGCAGACTCGTCTAAAGAGCAGCCCACGTTTTAGCTGCAACATCAGCCGGCTGCATGAAGCATAAAGAAGTCCATCATAGTCTCACTTCACTGATTGTTAAACTCCAGCTCTTTTAGTTTTCCTGTGGTCATAAAAACTCGCTAAATTTGGATGAATATATATGGACAATGAGCTTAAAGGTTAAAATGTTCTCCAGTATGTATTATATGCTGGGCATTAATCGGCTTCTTGTTTAGACAAATCTGTGGTTTGAATATTTGAATCTACATTGATGTTGGCACAAACAGACTCAGTTATTTTTCTGATTTAAAGCAAGATTGTTGTTTAATTTTCCTCCTAAATGCTAAATGTTGGAGAGCTAGTGAGCATAAATACTTCCTGTTTAACGATAACCATAAACATTGACATTTCAATGATTACTTTTTCTAAAATTGGCAACACCAAGCCACTACTAATGATTAGTTAAAAGTGTTACATGAGTAATGGCTTTTTATAGTTTTGTCCTTTCCTTGGGTAGCAGTTATTTTCTGCATGTGATACATTTGCTGTGTCTCAATGTCCACAGCAAGGAGGGTTAGTCCCTTGGTGTCTGTCCAGGTGTACTATTTATCTGCTTGTTTGATTAAAAAAGGAGTAAAAAACAAGACTAAAATAAAATCACCAAATATTAAATTTCAACACAAAATCCACGAACGAAAAGAAGCAGATGGAAGAAGACATCTGATCAAGCTCCACCCCTTTACTTATTACCCGTACCTATTGTTAATGATGGAGACCTTTCCTCTGCTTCCAAACCCGTTGGCTGACCTGATGACCAACTTGAGGAAACATAGGAAACATTCCTGGAGGAGAGTGTTGTTATTCTTAGATCCATCACTTATATCTTACTGAATAATTAATTTATGGTTACAAAAGGCCTAAAATCAAATTCATGCCACAAGGGATCATTGTCCATCTGCTTCATATATTTAAATTAAATCAAATCCATAACATGCAATGGTTATTTGCTAGAATCTGTAAATGTGAATGCTTTGTGAGTTGTTCTCTGTGGAGCAAAAACTCTCGCACTCCTGTTTCAAGTTAGACGTTTATCAAAGGAGCGGAGGGAGGAAAATGGCAGGATTACAAGTCTTACTCGTTAAAATACTTGAAAGGCTATTGTCTCTTCCCTGATTGGCTAACAGCAATGCTACTCTCCTGCTACCTTTGTTAACAAAAGTCAGAATACTGTAAAATATATTCTCTTTAGTAAAAAGTAACAAAAGACAGAACGTGTTCTGCCATGATGTGGAGTTGCTGATGGTTAGCATCTACTAGCCGAGACGCAATCTGCTCTTTCCTTCCCGTGAGTGGTCACAAGCCAGGATGGGCAGGGCCATGATTGCTCATTTTCTCTGTGACATAGAAGAGACTGACTTTTTCTGACCAAATCTTTTTTCCATACTTTCCTCACTGTGGCTAATGCAGATGATAGCTTTGAAGAAAAACTTCACGTTCAGCATGCATTTGCTAGCCTGGCGAGCCATCCTATATATGTCGTCTGGCCACAAGTTATGGAAAAAAGCCTGTTGTGGTGCGATATCTATGGTTGTATTTCAAAATGTCTCCAACTGGACAGCGCTAGGACCAAACAAAACAACGAATGTGACGTTGTGCTGACCACTATGGATTAGGGCCTGGCCAATATGCTTTTTTTGGGACTGATACCGATATAAAACTTTTAACAAAGGCCGATAGCCGATATAATGGCCGATAAATCTCCCTCACAAAAAAAAGAATAAAAAATTTTCTTAAGCTTAAACCCTTCATTCTCTGCCTTTTTGATGCAAACTTATTTCTCTATTACACACCAAAGAACTGTGTCAATAACTCACCAGCGTTTCCAAGTAATGCAAATAAGATTTATTTAGCAGATCTCAAAAACAACAGAACACACAAACTCAGTCACAGCATAAATCTAACATTCAAGTTTTTTCTTGTAAACTGTGGTTTCCATAAATACATTTTAACTTAAAGGAATATTCCACCACTCAGTAAAGTTGTGTCTTGTTAAGATTCCCCAGAGTTAGACAAGTCAGAAAAAGCATTTCATAACGAACCCAGTATGATCTGGCAGCAGTTGGTTTTCTTAGTTTAGCATAAAACAATGTAAGTGAATTCACTTACATTGTAGTGTTTTTTTTTTATGTAGGTGAATGCAAGCCTTCCCTTCCATTTCTTTATGCTAAAACAACTGGTTACAAAATGTTTTTGCTGACTTAGCTAACTCTGGGGAATCTAACAACACACAACAAGTTTAGGGACAGAAGATCCCTATAAGAATATTAAAATAATAAAAATGCAGCAATAAATAAAATGTAATACTTGTGCTTTGTAACAAATTAATACTCTGTGGAAGTTAACATTGGTGAACTTATTCACCCTGGTCAGGAAATAATTGCACATAAGAAACATAAGAATACATTTAAAAAAAGTTCCAAAACAATAATTTGTGTTCAAAGTTCTTGGAGCCACACAACATGAGTTCATAAAGCTGGCACCAACTGCTGGATAGGTAGCGCAATATCGGCCACATCAGCCGTCTTTTTGGCCAATACTGCTAATGACTCCAATATCGGCCGGCCGATATATCGGTCGGGCCCTACTATGGATATCAGTCAACAGGGCAGTCCTCCGTACACCATCACAGAAGAAGAACAAACAAATCCATCCATTTTTGTTATAAATGACTTAAGTACTACTCATATGTCCGAATGCTGTTCATAGACTTTAGTTCAGCATTCAACACCATCATCCCCCAACAGCTTACTCAAAAACTGGTCCAGCTGGGTCTTAACACCTCACTGTGTAACTGGCTGTTGGACTTCCTCACTGGAAGACCACAAGCAGTACGGGTCGGCAGAAACACATCCAGCACCATCATTTCAAACACGGGGGCCCCCCAGGGATGTGTGCTGAGCCCCCTCCTCTTCACTCTGCTGACCCACGACTGTACACCGTTACACAGCTCTAACCTCTTCATCAAGTTTGCGGATGACACAACAGTGGTGGGTCTCATAAACTACGGGGATGAGACCGACTACAGGAACGAGGTGAGCCGCCTTACCACATGGTGTGCTGACAACAACCTCTCTCTAAATGTGGAGAAGACCAAGGAGATTGTTGTGGACTTCAGGAGAGCACACACTCAGCATGCTCCGCTGACCATCAACGGTGTGTCTGTGGAGAGAGTGAGCAGCACCAAATTCCTGGGTGTGCACATTACAGAGGATCTCTCCTGGGCGAACAACACCATAGCATTGGCGAGGAAATCACAGCAGCGTCTCTTCTTCCTCCGCAAACTAAGAAGAGCAAGAGCACCAGCCCCCATCCTGTACACTTTCTACAGAGGCACCATCGAGAGCATCCTGTCGTGCGGCATCACTGTGTGGTTTGGAGCCTGCAACGTTTCCTGCAATAAAACCCTCCAACATATAGTGAGAGCAGCAGAGAAGGTCATTGGGGTCTCTCTCCCCTCCCTACGAGACATTTACAGCACCCGCCTCACAAAAAAGGCCCTTCGGATGATCCCACTCACCCAATGCAAAGTCTCTTCGAGCTGCTGCCGTCAGGGAGGAGACTGCGGAGTCTCAAGGCCATGACCAACAGACTGAAGGACAGCTTTATCCATCAGGCAGTTAGGAAGCTAAACTCCCTCCCGGCTCTCCCACCTCTCCTCTCTTCCCCCCACAGTCTCTCTGAGCTTGGTTACTGTTTTTATACTAAATGTTTATTTTCTATCTAACGAGAGTTTGAGAGTAACGTAATTTCATTTCTCTGTATGTCCTGTACATGTGGCAGAAGTGACAATTAAACTGACTTTGACTCACGTCTCAAAGAAAGGCTCATGTCTAAATCATACAAACTTGATGCCAAAGCCAATTTCAAACAAGTGCTGTTTTTCAGCAGACGCCATCTTTGTTGTTTTTCTCCTTCACAGCTCAGTCGTTCAGCCCGCCCAAAAAGCATAGAGCACGATGATTGGCTCGGTACAAAACCGATCAGGCAGGTAGACCTGCTTAGGCTACAGTGGAGTGTGGCTAGAGCAGCCTGCTACTGCTGTGGTAGTTTAGATTTCTAGGCTATGCTTTAGAGTGACTGATCATTTTTCGAAAAGAGCAAGTATTACACGGTTTCCCAGTGAGCGAGACCTATTCTGGTCATAATTTTGGTCTACCTTTGATAATAACATTAAGTGCAATCTCATGTAATATCATGTGTAGTTTTAACCCCTTTATGTGTGGTTGGTGGCCATGTTGAATTACACTGTTAGAAATTACCAGCATTTCACATTAATTTAAAGTAATATTTTACAGTAATTTATTGTAATTAAGTTTCCCTGTAATAACCCATTGAATTAATGTAAAAATAAAATATCCTTGGATTTTACAGCATTTAACTCCTATTTTACAGTATAATCTTGCCATGTAAAACCATCTGTAATATTACAACCAGGAATTTTATTTTCACAGCAAAACTGTAAAAAGTGCACTGATTTCACACCATCAAACTGTAACATTACAGTAAAATATTGACTTGGAAGTCACGTGACACAGGCAGCCTATATACTGCCAGAACAATGAATGACGGATGTAACATATAATGTTCATGAAATTTAAAGACATAAAAGTTCAAAGATGAGCTGATTTTTGTTAGGTGGTAAAAGTTATTTTACATTTTGTAGTGGACTACAACTCTTGAGTTGCCTTTTCTGGACAAATGTTGGAGCATTAAACGTTCCAGAAAATTATTGCTTTTTTCCGTCCGGCGGATCCACGGGCAGACTGGAAGGGGAGGAGACTTCCTCTAACCGAACTACTAATTTGAACTGAAGGCGCGAAATCCCTCTTTCCCTTTCTCCGCCGGTGAAGAAGGTGAGCAACTTTGTTTTTACAATGATATTTACTTTTTGTTGAACGTTTATTGCATGCCGCAGATCATATATATTGTCTTTAAAAATGTTGCATCGAAGGCTGCATGTGGAAGTTGGTCTACCAGCTCAGGAACGTTTTTTAAGGGGGAGGGGGGGGGGGAGGCGCGATCTATTGTTGATGGAAACAATGGGGGGTTGACAAATGAAACATGATGTGCCGTGAGGCAAAGCGATGTCAGACCCATGATTTACCGCAGAGCGGAGCGGGTGCAGCTTGGAGCACTTCTGACGTGTTGCGCTCCACTTTTGTATGCAAAAACGCTCAAAGATATTGCCAATTAATGCTGCGTTCACACTGGCCATAACGTATACATCAAACAGCGCGCATAAAGCCCCGTATTTGAAGCCCTATATTTTTTTTACTTTGGCCCTTGTAACGTCTGCCGTAACCGTTGGCTGCTGCCTCAGGAACCCCCCCTGCTGCAGGGGGGAAAGAGCGCGGGAGGGGCTCTCTAAACTTATCCAACACGCAGAGTTCTTCACCAATCTTTTTCCAAACGAAGTCCTAGTTATGCCGATCTGTTTAGGCATGACAGGAGGGGCCATACGGTTCGCGGTGATTGAATACGACGATAAGTTTATGCTCTATGGCTGAAATTCTTAAATGCTTGTTTTTTTTTTCATGGAATCTGGCTCGTAGTAGTGATATGACAACAACAGGCGCTCTGATTGGTTGCTGCTTGTAAAGCGACGCAGCTGAATGTTGAAGCTTGAAAAGTATCAAGCTTTGACGGAGCCAACGCTGTTGAATCTCATTGCAGAAAAATAATTAATTGCTGTGCATTCATTTTGCACATGTATAAGATATGTATAAGATACAGATAATTAATATGGTTAACAGATACAGATAATGCTGTACTCACTCATCCTTAGAAATCTCTGTCAGGGTGTGAACTTTGACTGTACTCATTATCTTATTTGATTTGATTGCAAGTATAACCAATGTACTGTCATTTTTGCACACTATAATTAATAATCCAGCTGTCATATCTGCACAATGAATGACTAATATATTATGCACATCAGACTCACTTTGATTATTACTGACTCACCTCGTTTAATCATAACTGAATAATCCCTCTGTTATTTTACACAGATTGGTGTATTTGTGTTTGTAACTACCGACTTCGAGATCACTGCTGCTATTTCCACTATTTATCATCCACATTTTCACTGTTGCCGCCACATTCATCTGGAATTCTCAACCTATTTAGATACTACTCCCAGATATACCCGAGTGCTTTCTTTTCTTAAATACTTGTTTTATTGTTCTTTAACTGCTTCTGCTACTCAACTGCTCATACTTTCATACACAAATTTCCTAACTGTGGGACAATGAAGGAATACTTATCTAATCCTTGGCTATGGTTTCCTCTTGCTCTGCAGTCCATTCAAGATATGTGTGATAAAGTAACTACAGAGTGAAAGGCACTCTGATTAGTTGGCGCTCATAACACTGCGTTTCTTTTTGTTAGCAATGTTTTTTTTAGTATCGGTTATCTACTTATCACTGTTATCTACAACATTCTGACCTAAAATTTGTGTTCTTCACCTTGCTTCCCTGTGTTGACTTGAGTATGCCTGTATTCTAGGTTGGACTGACATCTTGATACTTCTGTACCTGTGTCACACAAATTTGTAGTTCCTGTTGCTGGTGCGACTAAGGTAGTTACTGTTTTAATCATGAGCATTGCTGTTTGTGTTTTATTTCATTTTGATGATGAATAATAATTGTAAAAATTACTGTTTACATTGATAGAAAAATCTCAAAGTGCTACTGAAAACACACACATAAATAAATACAATTGTCTGACGAATTAATGCCTATTCTATGTAATTAATTTTTAAAAATCATTTTACGTATTCAGTCACAACAACCTGGGCAGAGAATTAAACATAAAAATGAAATAAAACTCTTGCGCTTATTTTAAGAGTACTTGATTTGGTTGTTCCTCCACAGCATTGAATGTAAAGACTCATTTCTTTTTGAAAAAAATCTAATAGTCTGATTTGGCTAAGTTATTGGCTTGAGGTTTTGAACTTTTGCCTCGCACAGAATATATTACTTCTCATAGGGAAATAACTGTTAAAAACAAAATAAAAATCTGTAAACGTGGCCCCTCTACTCACTATAGTCAATATATGCCTGTTAATTGTAATGCTAATACATTTTGTAACACATTTTAAAAGATAGCAGGCCACACAGGTGCCTTTATCTATTTTAATATTGCCTATATAAAAATCCGGGCAATGGCCAATACCAAAAAAGGTTAATATATTGGCCTGGTATACCTGTCTGCCTCTACTGCACATTTTATAATTATATGTACACTGTTTTAAACATAGGCTTACTTACAATGATCACAATGTGCATGCAAACTTAAAATTGTATTGTTGGTTGCCTTTGTGTAATTTCTTCTTTATTTTCTTTCTAGATCACCAGAGAGCGAGGCTGACCACACTGTAAGTGACTAGTTGACATGCTTCACAATGTTCAACTGCAAATTGGTTGGGTGTGAGCATGTCTTTAGGAATGTCCATAGCTATGTTCAGCACACCAAACTGCATAGCAATGTCCCCAACTATCAATACCAGTGTGGTGTGCCTGATTGCTCATGGAGGTGCAGAAAACACACGGGACTGCAAATTCATATGTATAGGCAGCATAGGTCTAACCCGCAGACTGCGGGGAGTACACTGCCTGACACGTCAGCCCTACCAACTAATGCACCCTTAAAATGTCTAGTTGAGGTATGTGCATTTAAGTGCAGCACTTTGGCCTCTCTTATTGGGCATTTGAAGAAGCACATAAGTGGAGGATTAGAAACAAGATGTCCATTTAGGGATTGTGATTGCACATTCACAAACGTGTCCAGTTTTGCTTCACATATTTGTAGAAAACATAGGAGTGTTGAGGATTCAGTTTTAAATGATGTTGTTTTAGACAGGTCTATAGCCACAGAGCCATTGCCAGGAACCAGTCAGTCATATTCAGAACCTGCTGAGGAACATAATGAACCACAAATGCCATTAGTTGTAGATGAAAACCTCTTTTTCCAGAACCTTACACTTTTCTACCTAAAAATGCAATCTAAGCTACTCTTGCCAGCAACCACTATTCAGACCATCATTGATGGGTTTCAAAGTGCTCATGAACTTGGCCTGTCAAATTCCCTAAACATTCTAAATGAGAAACTAAAGGAACTCGGAATCCCTCAGGCCACTATAAGCAGCATCATTGAGGAAATGAACAGAGAGGATTTACTCTCACTCTATAACAGGGAAAGGCTCAATACCGATGCAAAGAGGAAGGCTGCTTTTAAAGAATCTTTTAACTATGTTCATCCTGTGCCTTTGCTCTTGGGCAATGATGATGATGACAAGGAGTGTTTTGCTCAGTATATTCCCATGCACGAGACCTTGGTGACACTTTTCAAAAATGAGTCTCTGCGTGAACAGTACACCATGACACGTTCACAGCCATCTGCTGATGCTGTCTATCAGGATGTGAAGGATGGAGAAGGCTTTCAAAGAAATCCAGTGTTGAAAGCTGACCCTTCTTCACTTGGTTTAATACTGTACCAAGATGCTTTCGAGGTTGTCAACCCCCTAGGCTCAGGGAAAAAAAAGCACAAGGTTTTAGCTGTTTACCTGACTCTGACTGACATCTTGCCTTACAACAGATCTTCAATTGATCAGATGCAACTTGTTCTCTTATGTAGGGAACAAGACTTTAAGTATTTTGGGGTAAACAAAGTTTTTGCCCCCCTGATTGAGGACCTCAAAATTCTGGAGCAGAGAGGTATCCTCACATCTGATGGCAATGTACTAAAGGGCTCTTTAGTTGCCATTGCAGGAGACAACCTGGGATCCCATTCTATTGGGGGATTCTTGGAGAACTTCAGTCGGTCTATATGGTTTTGTCGCTACTGTGAGGTGTGTAGAGAGGTATTCCTGGCTAACCCTATATTGTGTGGTACAAAAAGAACAGCTCAATCATATGCATGTAACTTGCAAGAACAGAAAACTACTGCCACTGACTCTGTATGTGGCATCAAGTTTGACTCTCCTTTCAATCAGCTTTCACATTTCCATGTTTGCCAGCCTGGCCTACCACCATGTCTAGGCCATGACTTATTTGAGGGAGTCATTGCTTATGACCTGCCCTTATATATTCGCCATTTAGTTGAGGAGAATCATTTCACATACCTGCAGTTAAACAGGTGCAAGAACCAGTTCAGATATGAAGGTAATGATGGTAAGGACAAGCCAGCAGACCTCTCTCCCAGCAGCAACAAGCTAAGTGGACACGCAGTTCAGAACTGGTGTTTCCTTAGACTTCTCCCACTCATGGTGGGTGACAGGATTAAAGATCCCTGCGAAAATGAGGTGTGGCTAATAATTTTGCAGCTCAGGGAGATTGTTGGGCTCATCTGTGCACCGGTGATTACAGAGGGCCAGGTTGCGTATCTTAAAGTCCTCATAGAGGAGTACATAGTCACCAGGACGAGGCTTTTCCCCATTGCTCCCCTCAGACCAAAGCACCATTATCTGTGTCACTATCCATCTCTCATCATTCACTTTGGCCCACTTATACGACTATGGACACTGCGGTTTGAGAGCAAGCACACATTTTTTAAACAGTGTGCCAGAAAATTTCACAATTTCAGGAATTTGTGCAAAACTCTAGCAGAGAGGCACCAACTTCTACAAGCTTACTTAAGTGTGGGAAACTTGTTCCCTCCACTTGTACACGCAGAAAAGGGGACTTGTTTCCATGTTGAAGATTACAATGACAGGATCAGGGCATCTGTTGCCAGTTGTCCATTCCAGTTACAGTCGGCAGTAGCTTGTAACTGTGTTACAGTCAAAGGCACAGATTACAGAAGGGGGATGTATGTATTATTACAGAACACTGATGATGGGCTTTTCATGGGGAAGATTATGCTCATTATTGTTGAACATAATCTTGTCATTTTTGTCTCCGAGAAACATACTTTTGTAAAGTTATGTGACACAGGCGTGTACTGTGACCAAGGAGTGATCCAAGACAAATATGTGTGCATTAAGCATGAAGATCTCCTCGACTACTATCCCCTTTCAGCATACAACGTGTATGATCAGTCCCTTATTGCTCTCCACCATTCTTTTCCAGAAGCAGTATGAGTAAGGGTGAAAATGAGGATACAGGATATGTGAGGAGAGATGTGAGTAGTAGAGCAGGCTATGTTGTCATAGCTGATATATTTTTTTTTGGGTAGCCTTGAATACATTTGAATCTTTAATAGGTCGGTTTCACGTGAAATTCTCTTTATATTCTATATCCTGTATGCAGGGTAACTAAAAATAATTTGCAAGTAACCATCATAACAGTCAAAATGCCTATTTCTAGTTTTAGTTTTTTGCTAATTCCTAAGTAATTTCCTGGTCAATAAAACAAAAACTGTCACAAAGTTCAATGTCTATTCCGTCAACACATAAAATACATTTAATTACTTTTCCAATCAAGATGTCCAAAAGTGGAGACAATAGTAAAAAATGGGTGTGATATTGACCTGTAGAAAGGTCTTTCGGCCAATGAAATAATGTGACGCTTTTGTGAATCCAGTCACTTTTTAAAATATTTATCAATAAAAACAGGACAGTTTCTTTTCTGAAATTTCTTACAAAAACAGTTTTCCCCCAAAGATTGTATTGGGACCTGCCCTCCAACTGCATTAGAATTACAGAATGTGAAACCCACCTATTAATTTTTTTTATTGAACAGGCTATAGTAGAAAACATGAATACAGTTTAGGGATGGTAAAAATGCTAAATTACACAACTGAATACTTAACGAAACTAGGTTAAGGAAGCAGTGTGGTCATACTTGCCTGGTCTCCCTGGTGGCCTTCTGACCACCATGCTGGATGGTCTCGGAGTGGACTCTATTGAAGATCTCACCTTGTTGGAGGAAAAGGATCTGGAGAAATACCTCAAACCCATCCAAAGTCGGAAGTTGATGAAGGGAATCAAGGATGGTAATTTCCTCTTTCCACTCTTTGATGTCACTAAACTAGGGCTTTTGAACTTTGACACAAGCTGTACACAATACACATTGTATTAAAAAAATGTAATTGCTTCTCCCTTTGGCTTGAACATTGGCTACTGCATTTTGGTGCAATTGCATGATATTTGTACCATTACACATCACAGGCCTGGTTTCACAGCAACGTTTTGTGGGTTTGGGGATAAAGCCATCTGTGGGACACACTTGGCCAATAGAATGGCGTTATGCTGCGTTCACATCTAGGCTTTTTTGTTGTGCGGTACTTCCGTCTCGACCGCTTGAATGTTCACGCTCCGTTTTCATTCGGCGAGCAGCTGACGACCCCAACAAACGCCGAATGACGTCATACAGAGGCGCGTCTCCCGCCAGCCGAGAGCGGATTGCGACTCGAGGCAGGGCATTACCAGCCAAGAGCGAACACGCGCCCCTCTGTGCCTCCTGGGACAACCCACATTTTACCATTTATCAAACTGTATCTGGGGGCTGGGTTAAGTTTTTCTTTCACCATATTCAGTTCCACTTTAAATAATTTTTCTTTGTGCCCTCTAGGACTTGTTACTCTTAATATGGAGTTGGTCTCTGCTCCTGATCCAAATGCTCTAAATTCCCAAACTCCAAGTTCCCCAAACACAACACTCCAGTCTCCAAATCACCTGTTGTCCAGCCCTCCAAGCACGCCACACGCCTCACAGCCAGGGGTACCATGGCATGTTGACTTTCATCTCAACTTGGACCAGATGTCATCAGCTGTTCGACGTAGAGTGGAAAAACAACAAAGACCATTACCAGACGAAAGAAGGGCCTTCGTGGTTGCGCTTGTGGACCAAATGATGAAGCACGACCAAAACCCATCCAGAGCCATGTGCTACAACGTTGTGAGAAACATTGTCAGGTAAGGATGGGATGATCAGGGAAAGAATTAGCACCTTCTGAAAATTTTAAATGTAAATTGGAAGGAATACATTGTTTTTTTTTTTTCATACTTGAAATATCAAGTGTGCTAAAGCGCATGGCAGGATACACGAAGGTTAAACTTGGTTCTTCAAGTACATGAGTTGTAAATGTCTGTTGTGTAACAATAGTGCAATATTTTCTACTTGACTACTTACTTTCTAATTGTCTATTAATCCCACACATTTTTAGGAGACATCCAAAGTCATTTGCTGACATTGGAAAGTATGGTGATACTACAGGAGATGGCTGCTATTCTCTACTACAGCAAGTGAAAACAAGAGTGGAGTACCACAACAGAACCAAAACTCTTCTTCGACACCGCAGAAAACGCTTCACAGGAATCGCAGGAGAGATCAGACAAGAGAGAGGTCCTGTTGACCAGTACGGGTATGTGGCAATATACATGTAATATCTGTTAACATTTTATCAAAAGCATTGTATATGACCATGAATAAGCCAGAAACGGAACAAAACAAATTTTATTGACATTAACTTAGACCTTTTTCCAGCAAGCATGAGCCAATTTTAAAAGTGTTGTAAAGACCGCTAACCCAGCAGCAGCTAAATGTATGTGTTGCCCCACCCCGTGTCGAGTTTCCACGTTTTGATCTGGAACCTCTGCTGCAAACAGCGTTGGGAAGGAGGGGGGGCCATCTTGTAGGAAACATTGAGCGGATTGGAGGACCCCTCGAATGTCCGTCTACTTGCTACAATGGTTTGTCTTTAGCCAATCACAGCTAAGTGGTTCCTTTGACTCATTTTTAGAAGAGCGTGACTTAGGCCACCTGTGCCTACAAGGTGGAAGCTCCAATTCTGTTGGCAAAAAAATTTGGCGGTCAGTAGGAATGTTCAAATAGCAGGAAGGAGGAACTAGGAAGAATAACGAATGTTGTGGGGTAGAAAAAAACTATCATAATTTTGAAGAGAAATATCTTTTGAAAGATTTAGGTATCTTTAATATATACACAAACACTGTGGACTGCAGCTTTATTTGGATAAACAACATCAGTGTTTACAACACTTCTACACTGTAACATAACTTCTGTGACATAAGTCTGTTAATGCAGTCACAACTGGGAGTCAAACGGACCCTTTAGTCATTGCTCCAACTTCTGGGCTATAACTGTCCCTAATAGTAGTGTTACCCTGTGATTCCCCTTCTTAGGTGTGTCAGGTGGGGCCCATTGGATTTCCCAGAGGGGGAGACCGAGGCATCGTTGATGAAGATGAAGAGGGATCTACTGAACATCTACTCAGGCAGGCTTTCTACTGTTGTTTTGGGTTATTTTGTTTGGAGTTTTTTCATTGGTCAAGATCTAAAAACTGTGTGTTCGGCAGCTAACAAGACCAAATTGTTACTTTGGTACTAACAATGCATTTTTATTGTCTGTATACACAGAGGAAGGAATGAAAGGGGCGGAGAGAGCAGAACCAATGATGGAAAAGACATATGTCATCCTCCGGCAATACCTTAACAAAATGCCTGCTGCAGCAATGTCTGACATCAACCTATAGGTTGACTCAGACAGTTAACCATTTGTAGGTGCAGACTTTATGGTTGATTTCTGGGAGTTTTGTCAAGATTAATTTTGTGGTGCTTGAGATGTTTTGCTAATGACAAAAGGGAACACACACGGTTTCCTCAGTTGGTGATAATTAGGAGCTGCAAATAATTCTATTATGTATTTTTTTTTTAGCTGTGAGGATTTTAGTGACTAATCGGGTGCTCTGCTGTTTTTGCTGCCTTTAGGGCCACTGAGAAAATCCTGGCTCGAGCTCGACAGCTGGTGGACGTTAAAAAAGAGGACAGATTCTCTGCCCTTCATCTGGCTTCCCTCAACAACCACAGAGATGTCGCAGAGGTCCTCATCAAGGAGGTGAGCCTCACAGAAGAACAGCGTGTTTATAGGCTTTCCTGATGCCACGTCATTGTTAAATGTATGTTAAATCCAAATCCCTCATCCTTCACAGGGACGCTGTGACATCAACATCTGCAATAACCAGAACCAGACACCGCTGCAGCTGGCTGTGATCCAGGGCCACACAGACCTGGTGCAGCTGCTGGTGGATGAAGGCGCTGATGTGAACATGGAGGACAAAAACGGTGACACGGCCATGCACGTGGCCCTTCTCTGCCCCCAGCTGGCCAACGTTGTACTCGGTCCTTCAGTGGGAACAAGCAGCGCTGAGGAGAGCAGCGAGGGCTGCTCGTCTACGTCGCTCTACTGTAGGGTGAGACACGATGATTCTGCTAGAGACAAATAATGAAATCTGCATTGTTTCACTACTTTTACTTTATGTTATCAGAAAGAATAGATTTTTATAATAATCTTTTGCTGCAAATGGGGGGGCGGTAATTAAATGACGCACTTCCAGGGCTTGTTAACTCACGCCACAGGGGTGAAACTGAAGCTACTGCTGATCAGCTAGATTTGAATCCTCATTTTTATTTTGTGCTCAGTTGTACACGTTAATATTTTTGCTTCCAAATATCTATTTGAAATTATTGCGTCAATCCATCTGTTAAATCTGCAAACGGTTAAATTCTTCATACAGGATTTGTAAACCTCTCCAGATCGGTGGGTAACAACTCAGACATGATCTGTGCTCTTAAGGTTGCTGCTAAAAGCCTGACATAAATAATGAAAGGCCTTGAAGGAATAATAATGATAATAGTTCAATTTCTTCCAGGGAATTTAGTATTCTCAGTTCTGAAGCTCATCCTCATGTGGGAACGATTACAGCAGCATTGCTTGAGTAAAAACACCCTTGAAGAAGGATTCAAAGCTGCTCTATCAATATATTGATGACATTTTCCCTGCAAAAGCTCTGATGGTATCTGGGAACTGAAATAATTTATTATAATGCTTAAAGCTGAAAATGAAAGTTTCCTTTCAGATTTTCTATCTAGCAAAGGTGATAAATCACAGACCCAACGTGACTAAATAATCATCTAATCAAATGTTACTGAAGGGTTCTGTGGCTTTACGTGGGATGTTAGCGCTTGACCTGTTTTCTATTCCTTGGACAAGTTGTCTGTCCACGTCTCTGATATCATGGCTGCATGGTGGCACAGTGGTTAACACTGTTGCCTCGCAGCATGAAGGTTGCAGGTTCGAAACTCGGCTGCGGCCTTTCTGCGTGGAGTTGCGTGTTCTCCCCATGCATGCGTGGGTTTCCTCCAGGTACTCTGGTTTCCCCCACAGATCACAACAAGCCCTGTAGGTTATAAATTGTAAGTCGCTTTGGATAAAAGCGTCTACCAAATGAATAAACATAAACATATCATGATTAAGACAGAAATAATTTATCACACACGTCCCAAATCTATATTACTAGACTAAGTGGATGGTCTTCACCTCTCCCCCTTTATGAATGTGAGACTTTCAGGCTCGTGCCAGTGCTTTTAAAGAACAGCATGAGGTAATCTGCCCTTCTGAGGAATTATTTCTGTCAAGTTAAGGGCAAAAAGAAAATCATGTTGCAGTGAAACTTATCAGTTTTGATTTTTTCTAAAAAAAAATAATAATAATAAAGTCAAGACTTTGAAACCTGCTTTGAGTTATGATTATCAGCACTCTGATATTATTCAGCATCCTTAGTAGGGCTGGGCGATATGGCAAAAATAGAATATCACGATTTTTCCAATATTTTATCACGATTTCGATTTTATCACGATTTTTTATCCATGAATAGCATAACTTCAATTGCGTATTAAAGAAGAGAAACATTGAATAAATAAACATTTATTCATATTAGGGATAATCAGCACAGTGCTGACACGCTTATATTTTAAACTCACACCAGAGATGATAAAAGCCCTGAGAGAAACAATTACAAAAATCAGTTTTTCTCGTTTTTCAAGTAACTTAACATAAATTAAAATCGTAAACATATTTAAAGTGCAAACATGTCAATTGCAAACGTATTGTGCAAACTTGTTCAAAATACTATGTAGCTCCCAGTTGCTCATGTAGTGGATAGTTAAGCTCAAATACGGCTCTGATGTGCGGCTGGACCAGAGATCGCTTGTGGTAGCAAAAAACTGCGCATTCTGAATATTTTCTGCAACAAGTCTCTAAATAAAGTAAAATTTTCCAGTGCAGATTGGAGACAACCCATAGAAGCACTGATTTGATCTCATTTCAGAGAAAAATAGAACAGGTTAGATGCACCTAATAAATAAAATTACTAACAAACTCAGGAATCTTTCTTTGCTTCACTGTTCTGGTGCTGAAAATATCACTAATGCGGATCAAAGGAGATACACAGATGAATGCACCTCTTATTATTTGGAGACTACATTTACTGCAGCTGGCAGAGGCAGAGATCGTTTCTATTGATACACGGAGTTTACAGAATCATTTTAAATGTTAATAGGGGAAGACTGCAGGAGGGAGCGGCAAAATACAGCAAAAACAAGAAACTACGAGTCTGATGAAACCCGCTGGTTTTCCATCAGGCAGTCACGGGGCAGCTCCATTGACCCAGTGACCGAGCTCAGTCCGGTACCGACACCGGCTCGGCAGAGGGTGAACGAGCCGAGGTGACGTCGTGCTCTGCTTAAGAAGCGGTGTTATTTTCCTGCTTCAGAAGAAGCGTCCAACGTGTTTTTACGCTTTCACCGAGACATGTCACGTCGCTAAGTTGTTAGCACCGCGCGCTAAGGAAACCCTGCGTTCCTCTTCGGAACGAAAACCTCGTTGTCGCTCAGCCGCGGCGAAGCCATGTTTGTTCACACACAAATGAAAACAAGCGGGGCACTAATATATTACTATGACTCACTCTGATTGGTTAAGGGTCAAACAAAGGCGTGTCATTCGCCTGAGGTAAGTTCTCTTTTCATTCAGAGGCAGAAATTCAACAGCAGAGCTGTGAATCGTGATAAAACGGTCTCTCAAAAATGACAGACCGTCAGATGTGTAGATCGTAAAACGGTCTAAAATCGTCATATCGCCCAGCCCTAATCCTCAGTCAATCCCGCTGTCCTGTCCCGCCCTGTCCTGTCGTGTCCCATCCCATCCTGTTCTGTCCTGTCTTGTCCCAACTTGTCCCGCCCTGTCCCGTTCCATCCTGTCCTGCTTACATGTTGAACTCAATCCATTTCTTCTCACTTAACACCCGATTAAGCCGAGTCACCAGACTCGCGACCGTATCCTGTTTACTCGGCATTCCATAACCCAAATTCATCCCAGATGACTTAAGCATATGTCTCACGATTCTAATCCTACTTTTATTTTTGCCCAACTAGAAGACTATATTTACCTCCTTAACCTCATCTGGTCACCTATTTAGTAGCCTACTTAGCCTATATTTGCCTCTCTGTAAATTCTTTTTTCAGTTTTTGTTTCACTAAATATGCTAATCCGCCTCAGCAAACACAAAAAGATGCTTCAAACTCAATTAAGTTCTACAGATATTTAGCCAAAAAATGGGATAAATGGATTCCTTCAAGAAGAACTAGGCTTTTGATGGCTTCATGCTTTTTGATGAGCTGTTAACTCAGATGAACCAGTTTCATTTCAGTGTGTGTGTGTGTCTTCTTCATTAGGAAACCTAGACTCCTTCTTATAGAAAACATTTTACATACCCCCTGAATCCCATCACAGCCACAGGTGTGGATATGTCACCATCCTTTAATGTCAATGACCACAAACACTGCAGCTTCACTCAGTATTGTGGGCACCAGCTTGGCCAACACACACACACACACACACACACACACACACACACACACACACACAGCCATGAAGGAGGGTAGACGTCAGTGCTCGCGGCTGTTTTTACCACCGTCAGCAAAGTTGTTGAGGGAGTTCTTCTGTGGTGATTAGATGTGGGTTTATGATCTAGCTGCTGTGATTTAACTCCCAATACTTTCTGATCCTTTACTTTAACTTTTAAAGGCGTAGTTTACTCATTTATTCAGTGTGTTAGCGGTGTTCTCTAGTGTAAATCAATTCCTTGTAAGTCATTCAAAACAATACAAACAACAAAACAGCTATGATGCTCCCGTTCTGAGAGGCAGAAGTTAGCTGGTGCAAAGGTGGGCTGAAAACAGCAGGATTGCTCATTTTTATTGATGATATGTACACACCTAGCATCTAATTGGCTAACAAAACGCGTTCAGCCATGTTGCAAAGTCACAATACACTTTCCCCTCTTTCTCCTCAGTGCAAGCATTTTAAAAAAAATCCTTCCTGTGGAACGCAGCGACAGACTGAGTAGGGCTCAAACTAGAGGTGGGAAAAATGATCGATTCTAAGATGCATCGCGATTCAGCCGTGCATGATTCCGCATCGATGCAGCAACGTGACATAATGAGATTTTCTCCCTATGTCTATGTCGGGGGTCGGCAACCCGCAGCTCTGGAGCCGCATGCGGCTCTTCCATCCATCTGATGCGGCTCTCTGTGCCTCTTGTTTTACAATTACTTCTGGGGGCAGAGTTGCAATGACACGTGCGTGCGCTCTCCTCCCATTCGTGAGAGACACAGTAAAATGGCTTCAGTCAGAGGC